AAAACAAATAATAATAATAATAATCATAATCAAAATAATAATAATAATCCTAGGATAAAAAAAAAAAATAGTTATTTTCGCGTTATGAGTTACGGGCAGGCACAGCTCCCTTACAAGACCCTTTTTGCGTACAGCTTATCGGCAGGCTAACCAACATTGCCTTTTCGCATGATGGCTTACAGGCAGCATACCTCTTCCAAAGCCTCTTTTGCGTACGTCTTACTGGTAGGTTCACTAATAATATCAAGTTGATTTCTGATTGTAGTAGATTGTTATTTTAGATAAGTTGATTTTCCTTATCTTTTCATTGTTATATTTTTAAAAATTTTAAAATCAAGTTATTATTCCAAAGTTAATTTCATTGTTGCTTCCTTGTAGATCAATAATTTCATTAGGGTGATTCAAGGTCATTTCGAAGATATATAATTCCAATAAAGTTTCATCATGAACGTCTCCACGATTTCTTTATTTGGAATATATTTTGTCCTTGTTATTTTACTTGCTTGACTTTTGCTTTGTATAATTAAAGTTCTGGCCTTGGAAGTCTTAGTGTAGGTTTTCCGTTCCTTTTAGCTTGGACAGATGCTTCTAAACCTTCGGTGCATTGTGGTTAATAGAGCTGCCATCCATCTTCCATGGTTTAGTTTCATCTCTATATGCTTGTTTGATGTTGATATTGTAATGTCCCGATAGCTAAATAAGTTCTAGCTATCTTCAAACTTTTAGGATTTACTCGATTCAGAAGTGCATGTCCATAAGCAAATCTCTTTTCTTTGCTCAATGAATATCCTTTCTTAAAATCGATTTAGCACTTGTCTTTGGTTAATAAGAATCGGCAAATTTGTATCTGAATCCAATTTTCGAATTTGTTATTGCATTGCTCCGGTTTCATTGCTTTTACTATTGAGTATTTTTCTATAAAAATTTGCATCAGAGCAGCTATTTATACTGCTCTTGATTTTTATGTTTGCACTTTTGTATATATCATTATACGATCATGCTTGAGTTCATTAATGCCGTTTCTAACTCAGTTCCGAATTTAACACTGTAATGCTTTCTCTGGTAAGTATTTTTATAAAATTTTGCATTAGGGTGGGAATATTTATTTGGTCACTATTCTCCAATTAGATTGCCACTTTTCGCATGTATCGTGGTGCAGTCATGTTTGAGTCCATGACTATTTTCTATAATGCTGTTTTGTTTGAGGTTCTATTTAGTTTCCAGTATTAAGGCCACAGTCTGTTTTTCGATTATCATTTTACTTTTGGTTTTGACAATAAAGCTGTGATACTTTAATTTTTGTTGTTTTAGCCTTGGGTCATGTGATTACACAATGCTTTAGACACATTATAAGTACATAGCCAAATGTACCTGCTGTAGTATATGTAGAGTATGTAATACTTCTGTTTGTATATGTGTAGTACCATGAGGTCTAAGCCAGGAAGCTACTTCCTGTAGGCTAGGGCACTGTGACTTGTGTTTGGCATTCCAGATCTGGTTAGATTGGCAATATATAGTGTTTTACTGGTTACTTAAGAACGCTTAGTATTTTCCTGTAGAGCAGTTTTCTTCGGTGAATAATTTAGACATTTACTATCTTGCATTTATACTTGGACTTAAATGCTTTTGGTCCAGATAGTATATTTGCTTTAAGTTTTCGAGATCTTGAAAGAGATTCCAAAGAGCATTTTGGTCACGTGGTTTGGGTGGTTCCTCTGGTAGGTTTAGATCCGGTACTAATTTAGTGCTAGGGTATAGACTTTAGTACTCTTGTTAGAGGTTCCAGGTTGGTTATTTTTGGCCTAACTCCGGTTAATATTTAAAGTTCCGGGATAGACTTAAGTATAGTTTTTAGGCATTATTCTTGGCCTGTTTCCTAGATTAGCTTTTGGTAATCCCGCTAAAACAGTCGGGTATTTCAGTTAACATTTTAGGTTTCTGGGATGGTTTCAGTTTCTACTAGAGTAGTTGGGGTTTGAAGTTGTTCCAAGTTAACATTTTAGCATTTTCGGTCAACGTTTTAGCATTTCTGATCAACATTTTAGCATTTCTGCCAGGAGGTACCAAAATGTTACAATGCTATGGCCTTCTTTGTAACCATATAGCATGGTAACAAGGTCACCTGGTGCAGGAATTCTGCTACTGGAATATACACGGGGTGGATATAAAGTACAGTTAAGTATTCACAAGCAGAAAGTAAGCAGTTTAGTATTAGGATAGTGTATTTTAAACCTTTATTTTTATAAGACAAGAGGATAACCTCTTTTAAAGATCCTAAAGAGAGTTATATATTACAAGAGAGAATTACAAGACTAATTCTACATAAGAGAGGTAATTGAGATTTATCTAAGAGCTATCTAAATCTGTATAAACCTGTATAAGATCTGTTTTTACAAGAAGGAATTAAGGCTCCCTTTATATACCTTTTACAAAATAGAAGAGGGAATTGAGGGTAATGCAATATTGTACTTGAGGGAGTTGAGGGACGTACTTGAGAGAGTAGAAGGCCGTGTTGAGGGAGTTGAAAACCGTGTTGAGGGAGTAGAGGGAGTTAAGGGAGATGAGGACCATATTGAGGGACTTGAAGATATAGTTGAGGGACTTGAGGGCCGTGTATAACTTTAGCCACATTATGTGCCACAGTGGCTTTAACTCTCTGTTAAAT